GGGGCCACGCGCCCTCGACCACCGCCCCCGCCCCCAGCCCGGCCCCGGTGAGCTCCTCAGTGCAGCCGGACGAGGAGCGGCAGCCGCGGATTAGCGAGAGTGGCCAGTTCAGCGACGGGCTGGAGGATCGAGGTGAGTTGTCACCGCCCCGGGCTCTTTCCCCACCGCCTCTCAGAAGCCACCTGTCCCCTGTAAGCGCGGCTCAGCGCGGAGAGCAGAGACGACAGTCTCACCTCTCGGGATTTGTGCCGGCCGGGGGCGGTGCCTCCTGGGAGCCCCTTTCAGGTTCCCGATCTTGGCGGGTGCCTAGGTCAGCCTTGTCCGGTGTCCGCGGGAAAAGTTTGTAGATAGGGTTCTTGGTCGCTTAGAGGAGACTGAGAGGGTTCATCTTCGTGCTGGGAGATGTGGGTTCTAATGCTTCCCGCCGCACGAGCCCTGCCATTCACCCGGGGAAACTTCTTTTTGCTGGATTTGTGGCAGGGTGCCTCATAGGTCCCCTTAGTCTCTGCACTCGATAGGGCCTGACTCTCTCTGAGGTCCTGGGTCACAGCGGTCACCGCTCTACAGTCTGAGGGTGCTGGCAGAGCGATTGGGGTTTTGGGGCTCTGACTGACAACCTGGTCTGCACAGATGCTACTCAAAGCTGGAGAACGTGTGTCCAGCTCTCAGAGTCCTTCCCCGGACGCTGGCTTTGGACCCGTGCATCTCCTAGAAGGCATCTCCAACTCTTGTCCACAGCCACGGTCTCCTTAGGGGGCCTGCATCCAACGCCAGGGCTCCCTCATTCATCCCGCCTCGCTCTCCTTCCCCATCCTGCCCTCATGGCCCTCGGCTTGGATTCTTTGCGGAGACGACCGCATCTACTACACCTTTGCTCTTTCTTGCTGCTTCCGAATTGGACCCCTCGAAAATTATCAACGGTTCCGCTAAAACCCTTGGTGGCGGATTTGGGGTGTCTGCTGCCAGGCCCTTCCCAGGCAGCCGGCTCTGAATACCTCTACTCATTTTTTTTTTTCTTGGAAGCTTTCATCTGTCGACTGTAGAGTGCTTATATTATTTTAGTTCCAGCAGGTTTCTGTCCTATTCTTAGTACCTTGCACATCTTTATATTCCGGTTTCGTGTTGGGATGCAGGATTTCTTCCTTAGAGATTCCGAATTGTAGCGTGTGAAACAGGACGACATGGAAACAGATTTCCCAGAGAAGCGGCAGAGATGCTCTGCGGGGAACTGGACCCGCTCCAGCTGGGAACGAGTTCTGCACCCGGGTTGCAGGTTCATTCCCTGTTCCCTCAGAACAGGATAGCCTTGAGGACAGGAGAGTAGGTGGCACCCTCGGAAACCCAGAAGAACCTCTCGCTTTAATTCTAGGGTGTGAGAATTCCCTTTACTCCGTGGTAACTCCCATTGCAAGATTTAAACATTTTGTATTGAAGAAAGACGGATGCCCGGGGTTGGGCTTAATTCTGTAGCATTGCGGGTTATCTGTAAGAGCTGGCCAGTCTTTCCGAACCCCTGCAGAAGGACAGACAAGAAACCCATACTAGAATGAATTGATATTTATCAATATCTACAGGCCCTGCTTCAGCGTTAAATTACAAGGAAACAAAAACCTTTTCTGAATACATTCTTTAGGTTTTCTGTCAGTGGTCAAATGAACTTCATTTTCTATTATATTGTCTCCTGAAAGCATTCGCTGTTCATAAGCCACTGCTGTGTGGAAGCTTACATATCACACACAATCTCTCTGTTAGGATGCATTGTGTCCCCTACAGAACCCGGGGTTCTGTGCCATTTTTGAGCTAGCTGAAAGTCGCTGTGACATTTCTTTTGTTCCACCATTCCTGGCTGCAGAGAGTTAATGACAAATGAGAAACTCCAGTTAAATCAGAAGCCTCCTGAAGCTTGGTTGTAATATTTTAATGTTTGTGTTATTTTATCTTTCTTATATCCATTTTTTTTGATTATCTCTTGGAAATGGTTCATGGGTTAGGACCTCCTTCCCACCAGCGACAGGAACCCGGGAAGAGGAAAGCTCCCTGGTCTCCAGCTCTCCCTTGAAATGGTTTTCTGCTAGGCCCCATCCCCACAGGATGTGGGGGATGGGCACCCCGGCTGCATCTCCCATACTGGTTTTTGGGTTGACTTCCTTCTGAGGCGGTGGAAACCTATGGCAGACTATTTCTGATTCCTATTGGAAAGTTGCTTTGTAACTAGTGGTTTGGGATTTTTGGAGACATTTTCTTCTTAGAAGTGATATGGGCTATTTCTCAGAATTCCACAGAGCCCAGAATGTCCCAACACTACTGTGACAGCTGGTTGAGCCCGTGGCTCAGGAAACAAGCAAACATTTTGTGGTTTAAGGCCCTTCAGGAAGTAACACACACACACACACACACACACACACACACACACACACAGAGAGAGAGAGAGAGAGAGAGAGAGAGAGAGGAGAGGCTATAATATCCATTTTTTTTATTGTTTTGTCTCAAACCTTAGGATGTGGCCCTCCTTATATGGTTATAGACTTTATTAAGCACCTTCTTCTAGCTGCCCTTCTAATTAAAACAAACAAACAAACAAACACCAAAACACCTTTCTGCAGAGCATTAAAGCTCAAGGGCCTGGTGTGGTGACTCAGGCCTAGAACACCAACCAGCACTTGGGAAAGAGGAGCAGGAGGATCACTGTGCATTCATGACCAGCCTGGGCTACATACCTAATTCTGGGCCAGTCTTGACAGTCTTGAGTGCAGAGAGAGACTCAACCCAGAGACAACAAGAACAACAAAAGTGGATAAGCATAGGAGAAATCAATGACAAGTCATTCAGACTGCTGAGGAAATAGCATCTTCACATATGTTTACCCCCGTCTTCTTTCGTTAACATACCCCTTGGCATGGTCAGAGCCACATTATGGAGTTTAAGTTAGGTTAAAATTCCATCCTGGAAACTGGCTGTGGGCAGGGGGCTGCAGCGCTGCACGTGGACCGGAGGCCTGTTTCTGTTGGGCTAGCCTGCCTGGCTCCCACTTGTGATACACTGCTGTCTGAACCCTCACTCTTCCCCTGCATCCCTGTGGCTTTTTGGTGGGAAAGCATCTGGCATGGATGCAGAAGGAGCATCGGTGTGCAGACCCATCATTTCTGAGCTGAGTCCTTGTGGGTCATCCCATTCTACTTTCTTTGGGGGGGGGTATATAAAATGCCCATTCTTGGCGTCAGCTGTTTGGGCATCTATGTATGTATATGTTATTTGTGTGTTGGTGCTCATGTGTAGAGGGCAGAGATAGCCTCAAGTACCATTTCTGAAGTGCTGTCAGCTTATTTTGGGAACGGATTCTCTCACTGGTTGATTCCTTTATCTGGCCAGTGAGAGTCCAGGGACCTAAGTATGCACCGCTATTCCTGCGTTTTTATGTAGATTCCGGGGCTTGAACTCAGGTTCTCATGTTTGTGTGGCAAGTGCTTTACCATTGAGCCTCCTCCTGAGCCCCGCAGCTGCATTTTTAGAAAGGAAACAAAGAGATAAGCACAGTTACCCCGAAAGAGAAAAGTCCTTCCTCTTTTGAAGCGTTTCCATGATAATGACTTTATGTTGTTTTTCCCTCCTCAACTTTTCAGTCTCCCAGGGGACCCACGGGGAAGGTTGGATCTGGGGAAGAACCTCCAGTTCCTCCTGGCTCACTGGAGTAGTGGTCCAGCCCCTACTGGCTCCCACTTGAATCTTCTGTAGTGAGTGCTGATCCTGGTGCAAGGCCAGAGGAAACACTTGCAGGTGTGGTCAGGGCCAGGTGTGCTGACGAAATCAGCCAGCTCTGGAGGGAGAAATAAATGTTGTTTGGCAGAATGGGCAGGAGTGTTCCCAGTAATGGCTGTCCCCCTGTGGAAAAGTAAACCAACTTCTCAAAGGGATCATGTTTTTGCCCCCACTGGACAAACCTCTTAAAATGGATGCTGTCAGAATGCCTGGCAAATGAACCATTCGTTTGAGCTGCTACTTAAGTGGTGTAGTTTCACTTCTCCTGAAACCAATGAACCAGGAAGAAAGCACACACTCGTGTGTGTGTGTGTGTGTGTGTGTGTGTGTGTGTGCAGAAGTGGAAGTTGGAGGTCGATGTCCAGTGTCTTTCTTGATTGCTCTCCACTATGTATATGTATGTATGTGTGTGTGTATATATATATGTTTTTCAACATAAAATTTATTTTTAAATTCAGGGATGGTGGTGGTGGCAACACACACCTTGAAACACAACACTTGGAAGGCATAGACAAGGGGATCTCTATGAGTTTGAAGCCAAGTCTGGTCTACAGAGTGAGTTCCAGGACAGCCAGGGTTGTTAAACAGAGAAACGCTGTTTCAAAAAACTGAAAAATAAAATTCTTTTTAAATTATATTCCACATACCCCCCATTTTTAAACGCCATTTTTGGAGTCTTATTTTTTCTTAATTTTCAAATTAGAATATAATTACATCGTTTTCCACTTTCCCTTTCCTCCTTCCAACCCTTCCCTTGAACAACCCTCCTTTGTCTCTCTAGAATTCACGGGCCTCTGTTTCTCTAATTTTTATTATGTATAAGTTAAACCTACAGGGCTGATCACTTGGTAACCAGTTTTCGAACTTATCCCTGGAGAGGACTGTTTCTCCTGCTCTCAGTGTTCCTTAGTTGCCTGAGGTTCTTAGTCTAGGGTTGAGACTCCATATGATTTCCTCCTTCCAAGCTAACATGTCTGTTTGTGTCATCCTTGTTCAGATCTTGTGCAAGCAGCCATGCTGATGAGACTTCATGGCTGTAGCTTTTCTGAGATGAAATCTCACTCCATCTTGTTTTTCAAGACAGGGTCTCTCACTGAACTTGGAGTTGCCTTTTCAGCTAGACTGACTAGCCAACCAGTCCCATGATCCTCCTGTTTCCACTTCCCCAGCACTAAGGTGACAGGTATGCCTCCACGTCTGTCTGTTATGTGTTCCTGGGATCTGAATCCAGGTCTTCAGGCTTGCACAGCAAACACTGTACCCACTGAACCATCCCAACTCATTTGGGAAAGGGAAGGGAGCTTTTAGAGGTGCATGGGACTTGTTTATTCTAGGTTATAGCTTCCCGTGGACACAGGAGTGATTTGCTGTTAGGGATAAAAAAGAGACTTTTCTTCTCAAGCCCAGGAAGAAACGGAGAACTGTGCTGTCAAGTGATATTCGAAGGTGCCAGGACCTGCAGCAGAATTTGTCAAGACAAGAGGCCTGCATTCTTATCCTCAACCTGCGCTTGCTTATTTACTATTTGGAGATAGAATCTATGTAGCCTAGGCTGACCTCAATCTCACTGTAGAGCTGAGGATGGCCTAATCTTCTGCCTCCATCTCCGGAGGGCTGGGAATTTAGCTGTCTATGACCACGCCTGTTTTATTTGATGCTGGGGTTAGAACCTGGCCTTGTGTGTGGTAGGCAAACCCTGTGCCAACCGAGCTACAACTGTAGCTCCATCTCTGAATTAATGAAGGCAGTTTGAGGCTAGTTTCCCAGTGTAAGGGTGAAGGTGGGGTTGGTAATGCCTGCTTGCTTTCTCATTTGTCCTCTGATCCTATTGAGTAGGCTGAGGTAGTTCAGCTGGGTCTTTGTTATAATTGTGTGTGTGTGTGTGTGTGTGTGTGTGTGTGAGAGAGAGAGAGAGAGAGAGAGAGAGAGAGAGAGAGAGAGAGAGAG